TCCTGCTGCCGCCCCTCCTACTGTGGACAGTCCTGCTGCCGCCCGGCCTGCTGCTGCTACTGCTGTGAGCCCCCTTGCAGCCAGCCCAGCTGCTGTGAATCCACCTGCTGCCAACCCAGCTGCTCCGAGCCCACCTGTTAAGGACCAGGTTGCTGATTCTCAACATGAGAATCAGCAAGTTTCAACTCAGTCCATCAACTAAGCAGTTCTTCAGCCACTCCCGGACCTCAAATTTTTCAACTTAATTTCATTTTGCTATGGGAGTCACCAAATATTGGAGCCTCAAGAATTGTTTCCATTCAGTGCTGGAAAGACTTGGATCTCTCCTCTGTAGATAAAAAAAAAATACAAATTTGACTCAATAAGTAGGAAATCCAGTTTCCTGGGAGTGATAGTAGCAAAGTCTGACCCCACCCTGCAAGGCTCTTTGCTTTGCAGGTCCTTGGAAAACTGTCTGCTCCCCTTGGTTACTTTCCCCTCTATTCCCCTATCCTGTGGATTTCACTTCCTGTGAAAGAGAAATAATTCCCCAAAGTCTAATAAACTATATCTATTGGCACAACAAAAATCTGTCCTTCTATCATTGACTGTGTTCCTGATAGATATTTCATAGAACAGCCCATAAAATATTTCAACCTGCTTTTGCTATCCCAAACTACTTTTTGCATACCTTGGTTGAAAGGTTCAGTACAGGTTACATCCCATAAAGAGATACAGTAAAGTCAGTTACCTAAATCCCCAGAAATGGCATAGGCTCTAGACCTCACACAGTGCCCTCAAAAGTGGGCAACTGTAGAATCCAGGATCTGAATCCAGAACCTACAAGGGACATACTTTGCCATTAGGTAAAGGGGTGCTATCTCTAGCATTCCTCAAGCGGTGGTAACAAACACTGGTAAACTCCACTCTTTCATTCACATGGAGTCTTGCAGAATAGGGCAGGAGAAATATGAGGGAAATTCTGTCTGAAAAAATATGATCTGAATTAGATGGAATTTCTTACTACAAGTTTTTTCCTCAGTTTCTGCAGAAGTGAAGATAATGAATTACACTCAGTATTTAGAATTAAGGTGTGTTCTTTGGTTTAGGGTGCTCACTTAATAGAAATATGCATATATTTATCTTATAAACACACTTATATAGAATACACAGGATAATAAATTTATACACAATTACTTGGGACTCCTTTGTAAGTCTGGATAGTTTTTCAGACAAAGATCAGGACTGATACAGGGTTCCCCGGCCTTGGAATTGGAGAGAACTGAAGTTAAGTTTTTATATAACATTACTTTATATATATATTATAGATAGTAATGTCTATATTATTACATAATATAAATGTTTATATAGTGTATATAATCATTACTTTGGTTATAGTTGTAATATTTTGGTTGAAGTTACATTTTATTCATTCAACAGCTGATGGTAATCAGAAAATCAGAAAGCATAAATAAAGGACAACTGGTAAACAAAGAAACTATTTCTCTGATGTTTCACCTAGAGACTGATCCAATGCAGACATCACATTTGAATGTCAGAACGGAAATGGAGATGCTTTCTATCCTCTTGACCTCTTGATTCTCACTACTGATCATCTTCGGGTAGCATGATGTGAGCAGTTCCTACTGAGAGAGAAATACGAAACAAAATTACAAGTGACTTTGACGACACGGAGTTTAGGTTTTCCTCACTGCCATGCACTGCTAATTGTTTCTTCACTCTTACTTCACAAGCCTTTGCTGAATGTCTGCATGCGAGATGGTACAGAGGCACAGTGTAGGGCCTGGGGTGAATTTGACATAGGCAGATAATAGTCCCTAAGGAACGAATGACATGGCAGAGTAACTACACACTGTTAGCCCAAGAAGGCATCTTAGGGGGATAATCTCATTTTACAGATGAGGAAATCCACATTCAAAGGAATTAGTGATTTTGATGAGCACACAGTCACTCAATTGTAGAAAGATTTTGAAAACCTCTTCAAATCATTTCTCAATGAGGTGCTCAGGCTCCCACATTGCATGGCCATCCCTAATCACCTAAAGCTCAACTCACTTTAAATCCACTTCAGCTTAAAATTCTATGGTTATTTTAAAATTTGTTCTTTTTTTTATTTTAAAGAGTAAAAGAAGGATAACATAATAATGGGGGGGGCTTACCAAATTACAGACAAAGTGGTAGGAAATTATCAATGGTTATTGTTTTACATATTGTTATCTACAAGATAGTTTCTCAGGAAAACAAATAGACAAATAATAGTGAGTTAGAGACA